TGTCCTCTAGGGGTCGCTATGGGGAACGGTATACCCACGCCACCATGCTGAGGGGAGTGCATGCCAGAAACCTATGGCGAGCACTAAGTACCAACTCTACCATAGCCATGGGAGTTGCCCCTGGGACGTTAGACGGCTGTCCATGACATTATCCCCTACGGCCAAAGGCCTAGGCTACATACTATAAGAAACTAATTACAAGCAATAGGACAAAAAACTACAGTAGAACAAATAAATAAGAAATGCTACATTCATTGTATAAAGTAATCAAATGTATAAAACACTGCATATTCTTCTCTGTGTAGATTAAATATATATATCTTATTAAAGTTACAAAAAGTAATTTAGTCAAAAGCAGTGAGAGATTTTCTCTCTTTTGCTGTTTGATTAACATGAATGACAGACAGCTGAAATATTAGACTGCTGTCACTTTAAGAGCTGCCCGGATCCAATATACCGTTACACATGTGTTTACTTTCTCAGCTTTTTTTGCTTTCACTTACTATGTTTATGAGGATACTTGCGAAGACTGCCATGTTGACACATAAAAGTGTGTGCATTTAACTGTTCAAGGTCAATAAAGCGGCAAAAATGGCTCGGTTCAATACTCCTGCGCTCTATGAGCACCATCTTCACGTGTGCGCTCCTCTCTGACAGCACTCAAAAACAGTCTCTCAGATAGCGCGCATATAGAGAAATGAGTTCTCTTTCGCTGCTGATTGTGTTTCAATGGCTTAAAATCACTTGTTTTTAAACCGCAATGCTTAAAAACGCGTGCAACCAATACATTTTCGTGACCTTGTACAGCAACGTCATGTGAGCGTGTAATTGCGATAGAGACAATAGGTGAAAATCGTTCCCGGTTAATCTTGTCTAACGCTCACCCCTATGATGTATGCTGTATACTGAGTATAGTATTTAATGGCTTGTATGCATGGAATATGTGGATACCCTACAGTGTGTAGTATACAAAAGAGCATATTGTACACAATATCCCACAATGCAATTTCCATTTACTGTGTTATGAAGTAGACACAAACGTGCAGCTTAACTGTATTAATTTTTGAGATGCCATGCCTTAAAGCCAACATGAAACTTCATTCCCAACTGATTTTTCTTAAATGTGATATAATCTTGAGAGAATCAGGACATTCAACAAAAACAAATGTAGGTACTTATTAGAGTGGAGCTGGATGATTGTTGGGGCGCGGATGGAAAATATAATGGCTTGGTGACATTGTTTCAGTGGATTATTTAAAATATTAAGCAATCATTCAAAAATTTTTTTCCTTTGGAATAATGTGTGCTGATGAATTGTGCAACTGGATTAATTTTGATTTGATGCTGACATTATATATGCACATAATAACTTAGACAATACAATACAATATCCACCCTATTTTTAACATAAGAACAGGTGTGGCCATTTGTAACTTGAATGTGTAATCTGCTTCCAGTTGTTACAAAAGCAGTCCGTTATGCTGCTTAATACTGCAAATTGCTTTTTGGTATAATATTATTTTAAGATGTATATCATAAACACACTTGTAGCACAAATAATTTTACTGTTTTGTGCACTTTATTTATAACTTCTTGCACATTCACAGAAAACAGCGTACTTCCACTTTCAAAAATAAGGTGGATAGTATCCTACTGTTTGAATTATATATTGTTGCATACTATATACTCAGTATACTGTAAGCAATTTGCTATAATCCAGTCATTTTTTAACACTTAGTTCAACCAGAAAATGTGAATTCTGTCATTATTTATTTTCATTTTGTTCCACACAGTTTAACTCTGAGTTCTTGTCATATTTTATTACCATTTTCGACACTATAGCGAATAAACTGTGATAATGTAAGAAAAGTTGAAGGTGTCTGAATAAATGTTGGTTTGACTGTATGCCTTGAAGTGTGAGTCATTCAGTCCTGCATGTGTTTCAGAGTGTCTCTGTGTGTCTTGAGATGTGTCATTGTTTGTTCTCAGGTCAACGGGGTTTCGGTGGAGGGGAAGCAGCATGCTGAGGTGGTGGCCGCTATTAAAGCCGGGGGTGACAACACTTCACTCTTGGTCGTAGATCAAGACACAGATGCTTTCTTCAAGAAGTGTCGAGTGATGCCCACTGCAGAACACCTCACAGGTACAAACAAAACTCTTACCTGACACAAAATATAAAGTGAAACTGTTTTGTGGAAGAAGATTTCAGCAGGTTTTCCACTCTCACGCTGCCTCTAGGTGGCGCCTGACACAGAGTCATTGTCTGGCAGGGGTCACTCAGGCATGCGTGACTGCTTTCACTCTGGTCTTGGGTTTCCAGCAATTTAGTTTGTCCGTCTCGTTGTGTCACTCAGTGCCAAGGATCTCCAGTGAAAGCGCAGTGCCAACAGCAGCCATGGAAACCAAGGGTGTGTGTGTTTGACGCAACTAGATTAGTCATGAGTGAGTGGAGATGCAATGCTTACTCATTTTATTTACCGAGCATGCGTTTGGCGTCAGCACTAGTGGAAACTTTCCTTAGCTGCTATCGCTGATATCACATTTTATCAGTTCCATCGGATACGGACTGAAAACGGGAGGACTGATCAGACGAATGCTTTCAGACGTCTCAGGTGTTGCTGTTCTCACTCAGAGTCATTTTATACTCATGACGAGTCTGTTTTCTGCCAGAAACCCTCTCTTTATCTGAGTTTCGATGTGAATAGTTCTTTTCAGTTCACAGGCTGTGGGATTAGCTGACATAAAACTGGGAACATTGTCCCGGACAGTGGAAAGTGGAGTATAGACAACGCTATCTCACGACTAATTCGTATGTGTTTTACAAGGTGGCTAATATGTATGAATTCGTACGACCTCACTCGTGCAATTTTGTACGTTTTCTGTGAGGGGTAGGTTTAGGGGCGTGGTTAAGGGTGGTCATTCGTTCGAATTTGCCACCTCGCACAATATGTACGAATTGCTGTGAGATCAGGTTGGAGTAGATCGTATATTTTTACATTTTGGATTTATTGTTATTAGTTATGTGTTGCCCAACGATATAACTGCGAGAGAGAGTATTGAAATATATATTTTCCCTGTGTTTTCTTCCTGCTGTGTGAGCTACTGAAATGAGCCGCACTGTGAAACAGCCAATCAGAGCAGAGCTCAAAATTATTATTCATGAGTCATATAAAGTAAAAACAGACCATTTCATTCTAGGGACAAATCCTAGGGTTGTAAATGGACATGTAAAACCATTTCTGGAGATTTTTTGCCCTTACCTAAGCCACATACGTATATGTAGATATCAGAGAACAATTTTAAATATTGTATCAATGCATTCTATGGCACCTTTAAGATTTTAAAATGACGCTGCAGAGCACGACGTCCTACGACGACAGTTGCAGAATCCGAAGAAATTTTGCATGCTCCAAACCTAGTGTGACTGCAGCTTTATGCTTCATCACTTTATTGAAAAATTGAAGTATTCATTTTTATGTTTAAAAATAAATTAGCATATCTAGAAATGTATATAAGAAATGTACATGAGCCAACATTTCAAAGGGGGCCTATTATGCTTTTTTTTTGTTTTTTTACATTTTGAACTTCCTTTCGTGCATAATGTTGCTGTTTGTGCATGAAAAAGATCTGTAAAGTTACTAAGCGCAAAATCCACTCCAAAGGGAGTTATTCTCTAGGCCTATATCAGTAAGCAACTTTCGGGAATGTGCATGTCACAATGTTAAATAATTTAATTCCTGCCCAAGACATACACAAAATAATAAGAGGGGGTGAGGCCTGGTTGAGTTGGGTTAGTAGTGTGTTGTCACCATAAGACACCATTTCACAGATCTAATGTACTGATACACATGCAGCTATTTACAACCGACTGTGTTTATGTGAACTTTGTTTTGGACATAACCTTGTGTGTATTTGACAGTTGACACGAGAGAGCCAACTTTCTGTGCTCTCAGAAAACCGTATATCAGAAGTTTAAAATGACAAGGCTTTTAAGACACATAATATTTTTTTTATGATGATGAAGAACTGCAGTGTCACGCACAATAGAAATGATATTCAAAAACAAACAGAGGCACAAGATGTGATCCTCTTCTGGAAAGAGGGCAGGGAGCAGCAGCTCATTTGCATTTAAAGAGACATACATGAAAACTGTGCGATTTTGTTTCCACCCATAAAGGGGCATTTTCAGCATGATATAATAAATGATCTGTGGTGTATTTTGAGGTAAAACTTCCCAGACACATTCTGGGACACCTGAGACTTGATAGGACCCCTGTAAAAGTATTCAGTCTTAATGTTTGTACTGTGTAATGTTATGCAACCTTACTGCAGCTTTACTGGCACATTGAATAAACAGCAATCATTCAATATGCTTCCATGGACAAATCCTAGAATATCATGAACTTTCCAAACTAATACACTAACTTATCATCACTGAAAATAGTAAAAATAGTAGTGAAGGTAGTAAAAAAATGCCCTCTTTCTCTTCCTCATGGTGTGGTTCACTGGTAATTAAAGTCCGTGCTTTATTCTTAATAACTTAGTAACACACCATTGCATGCACAATATGCATTTTAGACACTTAAGTTTGACACTTCTTACTCCGTCCATGCAATGCACAGGTAGAGCTTCATATTACACGTAGCAAACCACTTCATTAGGTCTTTAAACATGAGATGATTATAATACAAAGCCTGAAATAATCCGTTATTTTTGTAAAATGGAATTATGATTAAAAAACACAAATGTTAAACTGAGACTATTTACTACAATTTCATTTATTAACATCTGACAATGGCTAATGTGTGTCTGTGTTCATTGAGAAATACTTACATTATTCATAAATGTTTGTTTTTTTAAATATCATACATGCATGTTATATTAACGTAAAATGCATTGTTTTCATGAATAAGTGTAATATAAGTACCCTTTTAAAAGGATGGTATCTGATGGTAATACAATGGTACATATAGCATGATAGGCCTACTGGAATTTATGTACCATAATATTTACATTTATGATACTTTGTGGTGCTGTGTTGTATGTGACTTGTATAATGTGAAGTGTGAAGAGTGTAGGTGAGTGTATCTTTGGAAACATAGTAATAAAAATGGTTGGGTTGTGGTTACGATCTAAGGCACCCCCTGCTTCCCACCCACCCACCTTGCAGGCTTTGGCCTACTTCCAGCTTCAGGAGGTGCCCTGACCAAAATCTAACCCTCCAAATCTAATCTAAACTAAGGCCCCGATCACACGAACGCTTTTTTTAGGTCTGAAAACGCGAGGCGCACCGCACTGCCTTTTTTTTGTGACTTTTAAAAAAAAGCAGTGCGCTGCATTTCTATGTTGCTAGGCAACCACCAAATCAACTGTCCTGGCAGTCTAATCAAAGGATTATAGTGCGAGTGCTCTAAAATCTTTGGTTTTTGCTGTTAAGTAAACTGTCATGTTAGCAGAAACCTTAAAAAATACAGCTCCGGGTAACCCGTGACAGACACCAAAAGTTTCTCCTCCATCAATGCCGTTTCCGGCCTTTCTAAGCAACGGTAAACGTTAGCCACCTAGTCTCAGCCTCAGACGTCACGCACATGGAACGTTGGCTAAACGTCTGATGCATACGGCACACAAAAGTGGAAACACTTCAGGAGTTTCGAAGTCGCCATCGGATTGGTTGAATTCTACAGGATTTCCGGGAGACGTGTGTGTCGCGTTCTTTGGAACGTTGGCTAAACGTCTGATGCATACGGCACACAAAAGTGGAAACACTTCAGGAGTTTCGAAGTCGCCATCGGATTGGTTGAATTCTACAGGATTTCCGGGAGACGTGTGTGTCGCGTTCTTTAACGTTCCGCCTGGAAACAAAGATTCCGTGGCGCCAAACCCTCTCACGAAAGAAGAAAGTCATCGTGTTTACAACTGTGACGACGAGCGCTTATCAGGATCAACTAAATGCTGGATTTTCAAAAGTATGTGAAATATTTAAAGTTCGCGCCACAGAATCTTTAAAATACGTCCGAGAGTTTTACACACCGGTCTGTTATTGTGGCAACATTTCCACGCCCCGAAACATGCAGTT